GTACTGCGCGTAGGAGATGACCTTCCCGTCGGCGATGCCGAGGTCGATCTGCAGCATGATCTCGTGCGCGGTGATGCGCGAGGAGTGGCTGCTCAATAGCCGGTTTGTGTATGGTCTCGTCCATGATGCGCAGCCCCGGCTGCTTAGCAACCTCCAGCGGGTACTTGGAGTCCCCGCTGAGGCGGTACGTCTCAGTCGACCGAGGCAGCACGCGCGACGCGGCGGCGGGGTAGGGGGTCTTGCGCGGGGAACCCCCCTCCCCGCCCTTCTGCTGCCGCGACGCTGCCGCGTTCTCCTTCTCCTCCGCGGGAGCCGAGTCGGCTGGGCTTTGCGCGCCGCCAGCTGCCGCCGGAGAGGGTCCCGCGCCCCGTGCGCCGTCCGAGCCCGACGCGGCTGCCGTCCGCGCCGGCGCCGCCTCCGGCTGCACCGGCGTGAGTGGCGGGCGCGCTGGCGGCAGATCGGCGGCAGGTGGCGTCGCTTGCGGTGGCCGCGGCTCTGCCTCAACGCGGGCCTGCTTGGGCGTTCCGTCAGACGCCTCGGGGTCAAACACCCGCTTCGATGGGCCACGTGCCCGCGGCGGAACGACGCGGGGCTGGCACGGCACGCCGGCGTCACGAAAGGCGCATGCGCAGGGATAGGCATAGCCATCACCACGTCCTGCCCGTAGCCGCAGGTCCCGGGCGAAGCTGCGTCCAGCTGCATTGGCATGGGCGTCACCGACACCACGGGGATCCCAAAGGGGCAGCGCGGGGGGGCAGGTGTACTGGGCAACATCTCCAGAGGCTTTGCTCCTCCCTCCCCTTGGAGTCTACCTGCCCGGCGGCGCCGCCGAGCAAAGGCGGCGCTTATGATCAAATGCGGCGGCAGACGGCCGGACGAGCGGCGATCGGACAATCGGACGATGTACCGCCGGACGGACGGCGCGAGGCCACGCTCGTCGACGTTGCCTCGTGCCGTCCGTGCGGCCGCCGCACAGCGCCAAACAGCAGCAGCTGTTGTGCCTTGTGTGGTGGGTGTTTAGTTTTGGTGATTTTTCCTATGCAGCTGTAATCCACACGCGCACGCGCTGGCCGCCAACCCGACACGTATCATGGACTAACGCTTGCCGACAGCTGTGAGACGAGACATGCGACATGGGCATGCGGCGAGTCGCGTCTCGCGAGACACACAGTCAAACAGAGAGAGAGACACAAGCAAGACGCTACAGCGGGTTCTCTGGCACTGCAGTCGACCATTCGCTCAGCTCTGCGGGCGAGGGCGGCTGGGTCTCCAGCGGCACCCACCCTCGCGAGAGGACATACTTGCGCGCGCCGGCGGCGGGGTCCAAGTCGGGCGGCGCCTCGACTGAGGCGCCAGCGACAGGGGTCGAGTTGTTGAAGACGGTGACGGGGACACGCAGCGTCAGAGTCTGCACCGCCGGCTCAAACTCGATGAACTGGGCAGTATTGAAGGGGTGGCCGCGGGCTCCTGCCACACCGAGCTCATCGCTCGCTCGCAGCGCCTGCGCGTCCGCTGGCGAGAGGGGCGTGGGGCAAACCTTGGCGAAGCGGTAAGCCACCTTGCTCGTGCCGTAGAGCTGGACAGCGAGGAAGCCGACCACGCGCTGAAAGTCGAAGTCGTCGCGGAAGTAGTAGCGAAAGATGACTCGCGACGTGTCCGCCATGTCGCTGCCCTTGCCAGAGCGAAGGTGCATCACGTCCCAAAAGGGGAGAGCCATGGCGAGGGTCACCGGAAAGTTCTCTAAGTGCCACACAAAGGGGTCGAGCTTGGCGGTGCTCTTGCTGATCATGTGGATGAACTGCTCCTGTGGGCGGGGTGGTACATGATGCTGAGTGAGGGATGGGGTGGTGAAGGGGGGGGGGGGGGGGGATGGTGCGGGTGATGGTGTGGGGGTGGGGGGGCGGCGGCGGCGGCTGCGGCGCACCAGCAGGTCTTGGTGGCACTTCCGGCAGGTGGGCTCGCGCCGGAGGGCGGGAAGCAAGAGCGAGCGCTCGAGCGCGCGCGACTCGCGTGCCGAGGGCTGCCGCGGCGCCACGAGCATGCCCTCGCTCAGGTAGAGCTCGTGCGTCCGCACGCTGTAGGTGCCCTGCGCGCACGAGACGTTGAGAGCCATCGGCGGCGCCACCGAGACACCGTCGTAGAGCACGGCGTTGCACGAGCACTCGACCGGGATGTCGGTGTGCACGAGCGAGCCAGGCCGCTGGCCGTACGGGCGCTTGTCCAGCGGGAGCGCAAGCATCGCCGCGCTCCGGTCGTCGGTGACGCGAGCGATGAGCGTCTCGCCGATCTCGAGCGCGAGGAACCCGCGGATGACCTCGCCGCTGAAGCTCACGCCGCGCATGATCTGCTTAGCGCCGTTGCTGTCGGTGAAGGTGAGGATGCGGACGAGCGCATCGTTCGCCTCAAAGTTTACCACGACACCACTGACGGTGGGGCCGCCGGTAAGAGCGACGGTAGGGATCACTGATCGCCGGCCGTCGCTCGAGGGCGGCGGATACACGGAATCGCTCGTCACGAAGTCGGCGAAGGGCGTGCCGTACAAGGACGGCGGCAGCAGCGAGGAGAGCGGCTCGCCTTGCCGAAAGGGCGTGTACGACACCGGCGCCGACGGCTCGGGCGGCTTCTGTGTACGCGGGGGAGCGATCAGTCAGGTGGGCGGGGCGGCTGGCAGCAGCGCGATGCAACACACACCTTTTTGGTGCCCGCGGTGTACTTGAAGGTGATTGTCCCCAGGATCACTATGCTGCCGAGCTCACTCGGTGCTGTCAGGTCCGCGATGGGCAGCACGCGGGCGGCGTCGGTGACCGACTCCGCGTCGACAGCGCAGGCGTGGTCGGTGAGGAGGCGCGCGTTCGGGTTCACGCGCAAGTACTCCCAGACCTCCTCGCCCACGATGGAGACGATGTCCACGACGGGCCGGATGCGCTTTGCGGGCACGTTCGACTCCTTGTCTCCGTCAGCGTACTCGAGGTCGTACACCTCTTGGCCGCCGCGCCTCTTGCACCCCGTCACAGTTGCCATATACCAGCTCGCCCTGTCCCGCCACTTGCCCTCGACACACGCACCTACATCAAAGCCAGCCGACGCAGCTGCCTCTCCTGCCGCCTCCACCGGCACCGGCACCGCCGCCGCCGATTTGAACGGCAGGAGGTCCTCGTGCGAGTAGGCGTAGAGGATCTCGGCGGTCTGCTGATTGTGAGATCCGCCCGCCTCGTAGAACGTACGCAGCAGCACTCCCACTGCCTTGCCGACTGAGCGGGACGAGGGAGCGAGGGGGCGGGGGGTGGAGGGCGGTAACACACACGTGCCGTCGGAGATGGACCGCTAGCACAGGGGTCTCAGGGTGGAGGACTGCCGGCGGGGGCAGAGGAGGCGCCGGCGCTCGGGCGGGCGCGCGCGCCTCGGCCTAACATCTCGTACGCGATGTAGTAGTACGCCTCGCAACCGTAGCGCAGCACTGCTCCGTCCGCGCGGCGCACGATGCAGTTCTCGCCGACCTCCCCCATCATCCCGGATGCCAAGGGCACGGGCATTGAGGCTCGCGTTTGAGTACCAGCTCCGTTCCGGGGCAAAACGGGCCCTTCACGGAGGCCCCTCACGGTGTAACTTCATATGCGAAACCTCCCGGAACTACTCTAACGCAGAGCTGGAGTTCAGGGAGGAAAGTGTCCGTTCGAGCCAGGGGGGGGGAATGCTGCGCTCGGCTCGTCCCGGCTCTCCCCGGCGCGCGTCCTGGGCGCGTGTGTCCCCCGTCCGGCCGGGTCGCTCTGGGGTGGCGCGGGTGCCCCCGGCCCACACCGTGCGCCGCGCAAGCACCAGCAGTCGGCGGAAACGGGGCTCCGGGCCGGCTCCACTAGTCTCCACTAGCACCGGCTTCCCGATCTAACCCGGTCTAACAGAGGGCAGATTTGGAGAGATCTCGAGGAGTACATACAGATAGACCCTCCAACCATCAGAAAACTCCGACCTGATCGGTCGTACTGACCGCCGACAGATCACTCCAGACAGTAGACAGGCCGACGTCTGCACGCGGCCGGCCGGGCGAGAGGCTTGACACGATCCGGCCCTGCGACCCTGACGCTGCTGCTCTAGCTATCAGACATGCGCTGCTGACTGCTGCCACAATGTGCGACGGTGCTGACCCACTTGGCGGCCTTCCCGGTCAGTGGTGAGGCGCAGTTCAGAGCTGTCGATGGCGCGATGGGCGATGCCGCACTGGTCCCACATTGGTGACACGATACCACCAAGTTTGCCGGTCCAAGAGAGAGGCACCGGCGCTGTCCTGAGAAGAGCGTGGTCCCTCTTGACTGCCCATGCGCGCGAGGCTGTGTAGGCATAGCCTCGAGAGTGCCAGCAGCCAATCCGAGGTGACGCGCATTGCGTCAGAAGCGTGCACACGATGGAAGGACACCTTCCTACTGGCCGTAGGATCAGGTCGTCACTGAATGCTGGATACTAAGGCCGCGAGCTATGCAGGTGATCAATTGTGCATCATGGCACGGTCAGCAGCGCCGACAGGCTGTCGCAAGGCGTGATAGCATGGCCGCAAGTACGCCGAATTCCCATGAAAACAAGTAGAAAATCGCCAAAAAAAAAGTCTAAAAATCGGTGCCTGCGGCGGGCCATGGGACCCCATCTCCCCCCCGGGCATGGACACCCTCTGGGCCCCCCGCGCCGGCCCAGAGGCAGAGCCGGGTCGGCGGTGGCGGCCTGGCGCGCCTGGTGTGTCGGCTCGCGGTGTCGCGCGATAGAAAGTGGTGCGCGTGCGTTCATCTGATCTTATCAATCAGCAGGAGCATGTAGGTGAATAAAGCGGCGGTGCACAGACTGCAGAGCCATACACACGCCGCCCACGCCGGTCGCCCGCCCACTCCCGCGCCAGCACAAGCCGCACCTAACTCTCGGATGGCTGAGAGGCGGCGGCGGCGGCGGCGGCAGCGGGGGGGACACACGGCGTTTGGCGGGTCGGTGGACGAGAGGACACGATATCACGCGGGGATCTAGAAGTCGGGCAGGCCGTAGACGGTGCCCCAGGTGGCGTGGGTGACGGCCTCCTGTGCGAGGAAGCCAGCGGCGGCGATCATGGCGAGGCGGGCGTGGGCGAGCTCCTTCTCCTGCATGAGCTTGAACTCGTCGGCGGACAGGTCCTTGGAGAAGCCGAGCGGGTCGAAGCCCAGGTCGCCCGGGGTGTAGCCCGGCCGCAGCGCCGTCTCCGCCTTGAGCTTCTCGCCGTCGAGCTCACGGAAGGCGATGTTGATGCGCGCCGCCTCGGCGGCGGCGATGCCGCCGCCCATCACCACCCAGAGCCAGACCGGCAGCTGGGGGATCTGGTCGATAGCCGGGCCGCCGTCGCCCGAGAAGAGCGGGTGGAACTTCTCCTGCACGAGGAAGCCGAGCGACGCGAGCATGCCGACGCGGCCGTGCGTGAGCTCGGCCTCGCGGTAGCGGTTGACCTCGAGCTCGGACTTGCCCTCGAGGAAGCCGGCCGGGTCCCAGTTCAGCTCGGAGCCGCCGAGCGCGTTGAAGTTGCCGGGCAGGCCGTACGCGAAGGCCGGGGCCTTCTTGGGCGCCGACGCCTTGGCGCCGAAGAGCATGGTCGGCTGGACGCGCGACGGGACCTGCGGACGAGAGGGCGGGCGGCGTCGGCGGGGCGGCGCGCGGGCGGGGGAGGTGGGCCGGGCGCGCGCCGACGCGACGCCGTGGAAGGAGGTGGACTGCAGCGAGAGGGAGAGCATGCTTGCGGTTTTCGGAAGTGTCCGAGCGCCTTCCCGAATCTAGGCGCTGATGCGGGCACGTGACGGGAGGTTTGCGCGACTCTTCCGCGCTCAGAAACGGAGAAGGGAGAAGGCTAGTCTACCTCGGATTCCGGCCCCTCGTTGGGACCGGTCATTTCATATTGGACCGGTCACTTGAGCGGTCACCTTCCGACCGACTCGAAGCGGTCGTTTTCCGAAAGAGGCTCAGGGGGGAGAGAGGCATGCCCAGGGTCAGGCATAGAAGGGGGGTGTTTTTCCGTCCGTCCAATCGTTGGTAGGTTTCGTTGTTGAAGGGGAGGAGCGGGAGAGAGAGAGAGAGAGAGAGAGAGAGAGAGAGAGAGAGAGAGAGAGAGAGAGAGATGGGATGGAGTATGGAGAGAGAGAGAGTGCCCGCGCGGCGGCGTGATGAGCAGCGAGCTCTCGAGGAGAGGGGGCAGCGAAAAAGAAAGAAATAAACAGACAACCCAAGGGAGGATGGCGCGATTTCTTCTTTCCAGTGCCCGCCGCTCCTTTGCCCAGCGTTCCGTGAGCCGCCTGCCACTCCCCGCCCACCTCGCCGTCAGTCAACATACCAACCAAGGACCTCGCGCACGCAGGTGAGACATGGCGCAAGCGGGCGCCACCCTCCAGAACTACAACAACGACCTCGTCCGCTGTGCGCGCCACACTCTTGCCCACGCTGCAAAATCGTCACCGCTGCTGTGCCACAGTGGAGTCGAACAGCAGCGTGACTCGCTGCCTCCCCGTTCGCGCAGGCATCGAGGAGCTGCGAGAGAAGCGCGAGGAGCTAAACCGCTCGGTGGCAGCAGACGAGGAGGAGAAGGGTGCGAGCGTTGCACACACGTTACCGACAGTGCCGCCTTGGCTGCCACCCGCCTGCACCGGGGCTGATGTCGCGTGATTTCCGCCCCCACCGTACTCTGCTCCCTCCCTACGCCCGCTCTCACTTCCGCCGCCCCCCCCCCCCTCGTAGCCAAGATCCAGAACGATCTCCGCATCCTCACGGAACGCCTCGCTCGCATCAACGACAACTTGGCACCAGCCGCCGCCCGCCCGCCGCGACGCGCATACCCATGCTCGCTGGCGCCGCCCCTCCCCCCCCGACTCCGGAACCCCCTTCACAGGCGCGCAAGATAGCGTCTCGCAACGAGTACGACAAGACGATCCAGGAGACCGAGGCGGCCTACGCCAAAATCATGGAGTCGTCGCAGGCATGCCGCGGCCCAGCCCAGAAGAGAGAGTGGGGCCACTGCGGACCAGGGAGACGGACCGAGCACCCTCCCCTCCCCCCTCCCCTCCTCACACCTCTCCCTCCCCCAGACCCTGCTGCACGTGCTCAAGCGCGAGTCCGTCAACCTGCAGAAGAAGAAAGCGCCGTCCGCGTGAGAGTCGCCACTGAGACCAAAGGGGGCGGGCGTGACAGAGCGAGGCTGTGTGAGGGGGACTGGTCGCGCCAAATTGGCTGTTGGCGCTTGGCGCGGTTGGATCCGTGTGTGGCGCAGAGAGCGAGAGCCGTCTCCCGCCCGCGCGGCGTTGGGGGGGGGGGGGGGGGCTCGATACAGTCTCCGCGCAGTCGTGTGTTCTTTATTGTGGCCCTCAAGAGAAGTACATCGTTTTGAAATACGTCGGGAGACTGGTCGGTCTCCTGGACGGACTCTGTCTCTGTCTTACTCGTCTAAGCTCTAACCAGGGCCGGTCGTCTCTCAGCGTCTCTCAAAACGACTCTAGCCCGAATACTATTACGTACACGCGGGCGCCCGCAGCGCTCGCCGCCAACACGCGCCGGGGCGTTGACCGGGCTCGCCTCGGCAGCCCCGTCGAGTCGCCACCGCACTCGGCGCCCGCACCCCGCGCTTTGAAGAGGAGGGCGGTTGGCGGCGCGCTAAGACAGCCCGCAGGCCACGTGCGGCTCAGACGCTCACCTCGGTCACGGATTGCAGCAGCATGTTCATCATGGTGTCCTTGTTGCCCGCGACCTGCTGGGAGATCAGCAGCAGCTCCTCCTCGGTGGCGGACTGGGTCGTCTTGGAGTGCGCTCCTGCAGGCCGGCGGCGAGGGTCGGAGACAGCAGGGAGAAAGAGGAGAGAGGGGAGGGGGGCGGCGCGCCGCTGTCGCCGAGCTTGTCCTTGGAGAAGACCTCGAACTGCGCCTGCCGCTGCGCCTGCGTGGGGTGGGCGGCGGAGGGGGTCCCTGCCGGGGCTCGAGAAGCGCGGACACGCGAGGGGTGCGCGGCGCCTTGTAGGCTGCAATCTCCTCGTCCGCCTCGGCCTTGGCCTGCTTGAGGCGCGCGACCTTGTCCTGCTTCGCCTTGGCCACGATCTCCGCCGCGTCCTGCTCCGCCTGCAGCAGCTTCTGGATGCCGATGTGGGCCTTGGCGGTCGCGTCCATGGTCTGTGGCGCGGGCGCGGCGCGCAGGTGTGGGCGGCGCTGCGGATCGGGCGGGCGGGGGAGGAGGGAGGGGCGGCCGCGGGGGGCGACGGGGGCGACGCCCGACGCCAGATCGGGGCGGCGGGGCGAGGGCGGCGAGGCGTCGGGGTGAGCCTCAAGAGCTGTGTCCTGTGCGCTGCGCCGAATTTTCTTTTTTGGCTAGGTAGCGATTTTCTGCGATTTTCAGTGAAAGGATGCCGGAATAAGCGCGTTGCGGCGCGGAGATCTAGGCCAGACTGTGACCGCGCGATTTATTTTCTTTTGTTTGCGGCCCCTCCTTCTGTGGTGTTCACCGGCTGCTGCTGGTTGGGAGAGAGAGAGAGAGATATTTGTTGTTTGTCTGGTTGGAGAGTTGCAGTGTACTCGAGTACGCGATGCCGGTTGCGGAACCCGGAGATTTAGGCCATGGCCTGACACATCAGCAGGCCGTTCATCATTTGGGCAACAGAGAAGGGGTTTAGGTAGGAAGGTGAAGAACAGCCAGGCTCGGACTGGACACCAGCGCGGTATGGGTGGACGCGAGACAGATGATGACGACACGCACGAACGACACACAGACACAAGCAAGCTCACAAGACACACAGCCAGCTGGCTGCCACACACCCTGAGTTGGCGTACACATAACTCAGGGCCACATTCTCCCTGTCGCCCCCCCCAGCACTCCCAGGTGCCAAGAGAAACAAACAAGCAAGGGCACAACAAACAACAGACAACAGGGGCGAACGCGTGAGGCTAGAGCAGGCTTGCTCGGCCTCTAGCAATCTCCGCCGACCGCGAGGCCGGACTAGAGTCTAGACCGTGTGTGGGGTCATGTGAGGTGTCTCTGGTCACTCTCCTCAGGGGCTAGCCGCCAGCCGCTAGCCCTATCTCGCACTCACAGGCAATGACAATCCAATGTATGAGCGTATGCAAGCAGAGGCGCGTGTGCTAAATCTAGGCCGCACGTCGTGGCATATGACTTGGGAGGCGTGCGACGGCAGCGCGCCCGCCGTCAGCTCGACGGTGCGCGCATGTCAGCGAGATGTTTGCCGGTAGAGCGATCCCGGTCTTGTCGAGCGCGAGCCCCGCGCCACGGTTGCCAGCCGTGCCTTCGCGAGAGTCGCCCTCGAGCCGCGTCCCGTCGGCACTACCCTCGAGTGCGTGTCGCTTTGGTTGGCGACACCCACTCGTCGAGGGCAGTCCGGCCGACGGGAGCCTGTCGCGCGCCGGCGACGAATGCGGCGGGGTCGTTGTGCAGAGCGTGTGTGTTCACATCTCCAAAGTGTCGGCGACGGCAAGTCAAGTGGGGAGCAACGGCCGTTGTCATGGTCGTGGAGGTATCGGCCCTCCTCCACTACGAGGCTACAGCCTGGCTGCGGTTCTGGAGGCGAGTGCACGACTTCTCCGGCGTGCGCCTCGCTGCGGCAGGCTGCTCCACCGCCGCCGACCCTGCAAGAGTGCTGCTCCAAGCGCTCTGGCACCTCACGCCCATAGTCGTCGCCGCCTGGAGGCCGCCGATGGCAGGGCGGCTATTGGCTCGCGCCGCCTCGGCGTGGCCGTGGAAGCTGCCGGCGGCGAGGCTGTACTTGGCTTGGCGCCGGGTGACGAGCCGCAATGCTCCCATCGCCGTCATTAGCCGGTTGCCGTGGTTCCGTCGGTTGTGGTCTCTCCGCCTCGGCTCTGTCCACCCTCTCGCGATGCTGATCGCCGCTGCCGCCGCCTTCGCCTCCGCCGCCGGCGGCCGGCACGGCGAGGTCGGCACGGACGCGCAGCAGCCTCCCACCCATCCGCCAGAGGATCGCGAGGAGGCGATGCCTGTCTCGCTGCTCCTCTTCTTCGGCGCAGCGCTCGCCGCCGGCGCCGTGCTCTGGACCGGCCTTGTTGCACCCGCCGGCGACGACCACGACGCAAAGAGCAGCCCGAGCCGCGCCGCCGGCACCTCCACCGACGTCGATCCGACGACGCTCCCGGCTTCCTCTCCCCCGCTGCGTCGGCACCGCGCCTGGTCGTCGCCGGGCCGCCTGGACGCCACCGCGGAGACGTCGCCTGCACAAACGGCGCCTCTGGTCTTCGCCGGGGACGTCCCAGCGAGGACGGCTCGGCGGGGAGATCTCGAGGCGATCGAGGCGGAGAACGCCGCGCTGAGAGAGCACATCTCGGTGATGCAGGGCTCGCTCGACCACGCGGCGCTCGGCCTGCTCCGGCGCGGCATCGACGACCTCGTGGCGCAGCGCGAGGAGGTAGGCGGACAGCTGGCGCGCCTCCTCCATGGCGCGCCGGCGGCGGCGGGGCGGCCGGCAGGCGGCCCGTCTTCGCCGAGGAGCGCCGCTTCTCCCCTCGAGTCTGGCGCGGCGACTCGCATCCAGGCTCAGCAGCGGGGGGCGACTGCGCGCCGCGCGGCGGCAGCTGCCGAGCTCGAGGCCGGCGTCGTGGCGATTGAGCTCCAGATTGAGTTTCTGCGCGGCCAGGCGCGCGCTCGCCCTGCGCGCGTGTCCGAGTCGCTCGCCGCCCGGCCGCAACTCGCAGCCCACACCAAATCCTGCCCTCCACACCTCCTCGCCTCCCGCTGCCACACAGGAGAGGGAGATCTCGGCGCGCGTCTCGGAGCACCTCGACGCAACGGGCCCCGGCGGCACAGGCGGCACAGCGGGTGCCATCCCCTCTCCCGCCGCCTCCGAGCCCGAGCTCTACGAGCCCTTCGGGTGCGGCGATTCGCCGGCTTCCGACGACGGCACCCCTACGCGGGTGCAGAGGGGCGCGAACTGGAAGGTCAAGCAGTTCGGGCTGAAATGCTCCGCCGCCGGCAACTACCCGTCGAAGGGGCCGTCACCCACCCATTATGGCACTCGGCGGTGAGGACGGGATCTCCGTATATCGGCCAACGCCGGCAGTGCGGCCGCGCCTGGATATTCCGATTGCCAGTTGGAAAATGCCTTCTCCTCTCGTATGCACGGGTCTAAATAAATAAATAAATACGGACACCTCTCTACTGTGAGATGGGTAAAAAGGAACAGGCCCCCGCCCTTGCGATCTTTGTGCAGGGTTCTTTGTGGGTGTGGTCGGCGACTAGCCGGGGTCGTCCTCCCGATGGGGGACTAGCACTAGCCGTCTTCCACATGGTCCCTCGGGTCCCTGCTGCTCCTAATCTCTTCGTACATCCTCCTGCTGATCTCCGCAAAGTCCTGCTCCCTCCCTCGTCTCACCCTGCGCGTCTGCTCCGCCTCACCGTCTTCTGCCCTGCGTCGTCTGGCGACGGGTCCTCCATAGTCGGTCGAAGTCGCCGCCCTCCTCGTGCCTCTTCCCAACGTTCCCTCGGCGGCCGATGCCGTCTGCTCCGGCTCCCCAGTCCCCGGGTCTGCCCTGCTCTCGTCTGCACTAGCTTCTGCTTCGTCATCACTGGCGCCTCTCCTCTTCTTTCTCCCCTTCTTGTATGCTTTGTACATCGCGTCGATTCCTCGCCCCACAGGCGCACATCGCTTCCAGGGAGGGGGGGTGCTTCTACTCACACCACATGCTAGGGGGGGGGGGGGGGCTAAGGTCCGAACCCCCCCCAAAGGCTTCACCACATGCACATGCCGGGGGGGGGGGTGGGGGGGCGGGGGCCTCGAGATGTGGGAGGGCGACTCGTGTGGGGGGCTCACCGCCGCCGATGCCGCCCCACCGTCGCCGCCGCCCTCTCTGCCGGCGTTGCCCATGGTGTTGTGCACACTCTGCCCCCACACGTGGGAAACCACTTCCTACTTATGTGGGCCCGGCTTTCCCGGGAGCTAGCTCATGTCTAAAGCTAGTTTTCAAAACAAACTATCTCTCTGCCTATTCGAAAGATGGAGTGACATCTGAGTGACATTGATTCGTGTTACGAACGTACCCGAGTGACTGCTGACACAGACAGGGTGTTTTGTCTGTGGCAAGTGAGCTGTGAGCTGTGTGTGTGTCCAGAAGGTCGGCCCGCGGGCAGATTTAGAGGCGGTGCGGCGGCCCGCGCCCGGGCGCCGTACGTCGGATGTGGAAGTGGGCAAGCAAAAGAAAGTTAGTTAGGATACGGCCGGTTGTCGAGCTGGCCGTCCCTAGGCGCTCCGTCCCTGCCCGGCCCGGCGTTGCCTGTCCGTATCTGTAAAATTGTCTGTAAAATTCTGTTTGTTGAGATTTTTAGCAATACCAAACAACTCTAACACTCACACGTAATTTGGGGCCTTGTTTTGTGTGTTCTGTTTGTTCTTCTCGGGAAAGAAAGAAAAGGCGCAGAGGGAGGCCGCCCGCCTGTCCAGAGCGAACCACATTTTCGTTCGTTTCCGAGAAGAGATCGTTTTTTTCTTTCGTTTCCGTGCGCACACAAAGGGTTCATTGTTTGGAATTGAAATCTTAAAAGAAAGAAAGAAAACAGACAACCCAAGGGAGGGATGGGAGGACGGCACGCCGCCACCACACAGGGATTTTAAGGAGAGGTGTGTGGTGCGCTAGCCGTCGCCCACCCTAGGGAGTCCGCCTCTTCCTATCTCTCTTCGCAGTCTCTCTCCGATTCTCGCTGCAACCTTCATGCCACCTCGCGGTCGTCCCACTCTCGTCGTTCTCTCCCTTGTCATTTCCTCCTCTGTCGCGTCGTTCCCTTCTGCCTCGTCCTGTGACGCCGCCGCCTGCCGGTCCCTTGTTCTCGCGGCTTCTTTCGCCTTTCGGCGCAACTCCGTCCTCCTCGCGGCGTATCCTGGCCCCTCGAGTCTATCGAGCTCCCCTCGCGCAAGGACCACGTTTCTGACTCCCACTCCGATCATTTGCCTACAGGTCATGTTGTTGAAATCTTCACAAAGAAATAAATCAACATCGAATTCTTTTTGAGTTTTCCCGCAAGACGGTTTGCGGTCGTCCTTGGCCCCGGGGGGCGCCAGCTTGTATAAGCCCAGCCACTTGCCGTTCGGGCAGTTCTGGCAATGCGCTCCCTCTACATGAACTACGCATCGCCGCCACCGCTTGCGCCACCGCCGAGCCACGCGCTCCCACCGCTGCGTCCGCCGTTGCCACTGCTGTCGCTGCCGTCGCCGCCTCAGCAACCGCGGTCACCGTCGCCGCCTCAGCAACCGCCGTCACCGTCGCCGCCTCCGCTGCCCCCTCCGCAGAGAAGCCAGTGCAGCGAGCTATCGCCCATGGTGACATCGATTGCAGAGCAGCGGGTGCGCGCCTACCTACAGCAGTGGGACATGCCGACTGTGCCGATCCTGTCGACAGAGAGCAACACTATCGCCGGCACCACCACCGCCTATCGCTCACACATGGTGCTCACAAACGTTGAGGTTGGCAGCGTCCGGCTGCACGGATGCGAGCAATCAGGCGCCGAGCGAGGGTGGTTGGAGTGGATGGCTGCGAGGCTGCCAGACCCCAGCTCGCTGCTCCACCCACCTGCTGCGAGCCTCCTCTCCCGCTACCTGCCCGATGAGATCAAGATCGAACTCAACGACGTGCAGTTCGCCGGCACCATGCGGTACAGTGTGTCGGAGTTTGGGTTCGGCATCGGGAGCGGTGACGTGGCCTTCTCCGGCGGCGGGGACTTGTGGATTGACGACGTCTCGCTCCGGCTTGAGGCGTTGCAGGGCGGCAGGGGTGGTGCGGGAGGTCCTCTGGGCTGCGGTGGCACCCTCGCCCTCACGCAGTTGAATCTGACGGGCTATTACCACGGCCTGGAGTTCCTCTTTGTCGGTGACGGTGTCATGCGCCCAGACGTGCCAGGGTTCGCGTGCGATGGCTACGAGACTCTCTCCACCGATCCGCTCGAGTCGGGCTGGCGGTGGGATGGCTCGGGCGATCGGCCTCCAGGATTGCGCTCCGAGGTGATGAGCACTTTGAGCGAGGCGTGTCGCAACCCGTCCGTCCTCGAGCGCTTGACAGGCCGCTGCCTCTTTGTCTCCGCATGGCCCGCTGCAGTGCTTCACTCGCCGGCATTGCTCGCGGGACCGCTTTTGTTTGGCGCTCTTGGAGCCTGCTTGTTGACCTACTGCATCTGCTGCTGCCGCCGTCGCCGCCGCACCTCTTTCCGGCGGACAAAGGGCGTTGGCCCGGTGCCAGAAGTGGGTCCTATCGATGAGTGGGCAGCACCTTTGGCGCTGTCGTTGCGATCGGAGGAGCCCGAGGATGGCTCGCCGCAGGAGGACAGGGCCACCAGGACCGACACAAGGCCAAGCAGCCAGGAGACTTCCCCATCGCGCCGCAGCAGCTGCAGACGATCCTCCGCAGAGGTGTGACTGTATGCGGAGTGAACGACGTGACGTGTAGAGAATGAGCTTTTGACTTTAAAATTCTCTCCACTTTGTTCGTCATTCCCCCCGGCCCACCGTGTACGCTGGGGGGTTTGGCATCTAGGATGCGCACATCATCTTAAGATGGGGGGGTCGCCGCTCTCCACTTTGTGGGGGGAATGACGAACACAAGCTCTAAGACGTTCACGCAACCGTCAACCCGACTACTGCTACATGGAGAGCGCGCGGGGCGTGTCCGCACGGCCCCCGCGCCGCGTCTACTTCATACTTCTTGACAAAACACGAGGCCCACAAACGCACGGGCGACATGAGGCGACACGCTTCTAGACGAACAACAGCGCCTGAACCGCAACCCACCCCATGGTGCCGAGGCCAATTGCGGCAGCGATAGCATACGACGCAGCATCGGGCGAGTCGGCGTCGGGCGAGTCGGAGGCAGCGGCGGCGTCGCGTGCCTGCGCACCCGCGCCACCGACACATGCGGCCGCAGAGGCCTTGGGCTTGTGCACTGTGTGTAGGACGCACTTTTCCAGCGAGGCCTTGATGCGCTCCACAAACCCCTGCGCGTCGTCCTCTGTGGCAGCAAGGTACGGGGTACAGTCATCCGATGACTGCTCTGTCGCTTCCTCTGACTGCTCTGGCTCCCTCTCCTCTCCCCCGAGGCTGTCGTTCATATCGTCAGAGTCATCAAGCGTCAAGGTCCCGCCAAGCGGTTTGTCTTTCGGTTGGTCTCGCTTTTTGCGCGTCAAGACGGCACGGGACCGGGAGCGCATGGCCCGGTACGCGCGCACTAGTGGCCGCGGCTTCTGCACGTCCCGCATAGGGCGTGCACAAGGGAGTGGCGATAGGCTCTGTCCTTTGAAATCAGGCGCTTCCAGCGAAACGAACGTCCTTTCTTCGCAATAAGTAAGACTTTGAAGAAGGGTCAGGGCTGTTAAAGAGATGTAGGGCCTTCCTTAGGTCCGCCTCTCACTACTCACACCCGCACTGTCTTGTTTATGGGAGGTTCTTGTTTCTTATCCCCCTATCTGTGAATCGCTCGGACGGGCGCGCGGCTGTATGTAGGTAGGTGGTGTAAGTATGAGGACTCCTACCTACCTATCTATCTATCTATCTCCGGCGGGCAAAGTGTCGGGCACTCGAGGGCACAGGAGCCAGAGCGCCGAGGCCAAGCTGTTGGAGAATCGCCGAGGGGCCCGTCGATCCCCCAGGGGTCCTTCACCGCAATCGGTCCTTCGCCTTCATCCCTAACCAAAAAAAATCTCAAGTTGGGCCCTCGGACTGAACAGAGAGCGGCACCGAGCCGACAGCCAGAAGCGTGTCATTGTAGTGCCGAGGTTGTGTAGTCGTCGAGGAGCTTTTCTTGTTTCTTTTCTCTTCGGCCCCCGACGTGCCAAGAATTCTTCTCACGGCTCGGCCCCCCCTCCCGCCTTTGTTACTCGAGTACTGGTTGCCTCCTCCTGCCCGGCCCCCTCCTCGTGCATCTAGAAGGCGCTGAGTTACGGCCGAAAGGAGGCCCGGATGGCAGGCGTGGGCGCCCAAACCGAAGAAGGCCTGGCGTCTTACCGGCAGTACGAGCAGATCGGTTGCGGTGCCTTCTCCGCTGTCTTCAAGGCGCGGAAGAGGCAGTCGATCGAGGCAGTCGCGCTCCGGCGCGTGCACATGTGCCGCCAGGAGAAGCTGCTAGCGGAGGTGCGAGCGCTCCGCGAGATGTCGCATCCGAACCTGCTCGCTCTCCACGGCTGGTACAAGACGGACAACCACTTTTGGGTGGTCTGTGAGTACTGTCCTGGCGGTGATCTCGCCGCGGTGATCGCGCACGACGGTGCGTACCGAATCGCCCACCTCTCTGTGATTCTGCTCCTCTCACCTCCGCTCCCTCGACCTGCCTCGTAGGCGCCTTGCCTGAGCCAACCATCGTCTCATTTGGGCTCGACGCCCTCGCCGCCGTGGCGCACGTGCACGGCCGCGGCTTCGTTGCCGTCGACCTCGCCCCTCGTTCGTGGATGATCTCCGGCTGTGGCTTGCTCAAGCTCTCCGATCTCGGCGCCTCGCGGCACCTCACAGAGGCGGGCGGCCTTAGAGGCGGGCGAGCCCTCGGCCCTGCACGCCCGCCAACACCCTGCCCGCCTGCAACACCTCAGGCGGCCGCGCCGCCGCCGGATGCGCTCCTGTCGTCGCTCTCGCAGGGCTACCCCGCCTCGTACCTCGCTCCAGAGCTCTTGCGGCAGCGCGAGGCCGAGGAGCCGCCGCCGGTCTTCTCGCACGCCTCCGACTTTTGGTCGCTCGGCACCCTCCTCTACCACTTTGCCACCGGCGCGCCGCCGCCGCACCCGCCTCCGGCCGTGCTGCAGCGGCCGCCCCTCGCCTCGGCGGAGCTCGTCTCGCTGGTGAGCTGGCTGCTCGAGCCGCACCCGCTGCGGCGGCCCCGCTGGGAGGAGCTGCGCACGCACGCGCTCTGGTGCGGCTGCCTCGAGCCACACGCAGTGCCGATCCCGTTCGAGCCCCTCTTCGAGCAGTGGAAGGAGGCGCTGCGATCCGAGAGGAGAGGCTCACTCCTGCGGGGAGAGGCTCACTCCTGCGACTCGCCTCGCGCCGACCCGCCCCGCACGGACCCGCCCGGCCATGACGCCGCGGGGGAGGGGGGCGGCCAGAGTGCCGTGCGGCAGGCTCGCGAGGCGACCTCGCCGACGGAGGGCCCGTCGAGCGGGCGGAGATCGCAGCCCCGATCGCAGCCCCAAGGGTCGCAGCCCCAGCCTTCCGCTGCGGAGACGCGGCGGCAGCGGGCGGCAGGCCGCGACTCCGCAGGCCGCGACTCTGCAGGCCGCGACTCCCCCGCGACCGCCGCCCTCTGCCGCCGGCGCCGTTGCGTGGTCTCCATCTCAGGGGAGGCGCAGGAGCCGACGCCGCCGCTCCCGGTCGAGGGGAAGGAGAAGGAGAACGAGGCTGCACAGGGGCCAGCGGCGGGGGGCTCGCTGAGAGGAGACGGCGGCTGGCCGGCTGCGGGGAGCGCAGCTGTCGCGGCGGCGGAGGAGGCCGCTCGAGCCTCCCTGCCCGCGCGGAGGGAGCTCGAGGCGAGTGCCGTCGCAGAGCGAGCCGCCGCGTGCGCTGCTGCGGCGGCGGATTGCGCCGTGCTCCGCGAGTGCGCGATGGCGGAGGCGCGGGACGCGATGCGCGACGCGGCGCTGCTCGCCTTGCAGCCTTGGGAGTGGGAGGTGCAGCCGATAGCGCTGCACCCCTCCATCGAGCCCCCCTCCGACGAGGCGCTCGAGTCCTTCGACCCGCGCGCATTGCCGTTCACGCCTCATTCCGCCGCGGAGCTGCGGGCAATGGACAGCGCTGGCGTGGAGGCGGCTCTCGGCCCCGTCGCTCGTTCGCTCGGAGGGGCGGGCGTGGGCGCCGCGGAGAAGGCAAACACGCTGCTGTACTGCGAGTCGATTTCCACCGATGCGCGGATGGCAACGGCGTTGCTTAACGGTGCTTTCTCTCCCCCACCCACCCCCAAGCCCCTCCCCCTTCTCTCCTCTCCGCCTCCGCCTCGACACCCGGCCCCTCTCCAGGTGCCATCGGCGCGCTGGCTGCGCGCGAGCTGCGGAGCGCCGGCTCGGCGACTCTGAGGCTGCGGCTCGTCACTCTCCTCGCGCTGCTCCTGCGGAACGCGACCCTCCTCGACGCGGCATTCTGCCACGAGCTGCTGATGCCGAGCCTGATCGCGGCGCTGCAGCAACGGGCAGCCACCGAGCGGGCTGCGAGGGTGCGCCGTCGCGCCGCGGCCGCGCTGGGCGAGGCGGTCTACTATTCCGCCGCCGTGCACCAGGACCACGCTTCCGCCAAGCCCGCCGAGTCGAGTGGCGGCGCCGAGTCGAGTGGCGGCGCATGGGTGGTGCCCGAAGCGGCGCTCGTGGCGCTGGTAGCGGCGCTCCGCGAGGACGACTGGCAGACCGCTGCGTACGCGGCCAAGACGGTGCAGAACGTCCTGCTGCGCTGCACCGCAGCGCACGAGGGGTCAGTCGCGGACGCGCTCTGCTGCGCGCCAGTGCTCGCTGCGCTGATTTCCCTCCTCGCAAGGCGGCGGCCCGCTCCAGTCGCCGCCGCCGCTCGCCGCGCTTCTGCCGCCGCCGCCGCCGCCCACCTCATCCGTTTGCGCCCAAGCTTGGCGCATTCGGTCTTCTCGAGCGGGAACGGCAGCAGCGAGCTCGGCGCGCAGGTCCTTCTCGCGCAGATGCGGGGCGACGCGCCGCAGCCGGCGGCCGCCGCCGCCACCGCGTTCCTGCTCGCCGTCAGCGACGCCGACGCGCGACGCCGCCTCAGCAGTGCGCCGCTTGCGATCCGTCGAGCCGCGCTCCGCTCGTGTGTGTCGCTCGTCCGGCGGCCGCAGCAGCAGCTTCAGTCCAAGGGCTGCCTGGTCGCCGCGCTGCTCTTGCCCCTCGGCGCGCCTTGGTTGCACGTTGCGACAGAGCTCGGGCTATTGCAGGCCCTCGCTGCGATGCCTGATGCGGGGGGGCAAGACGTGGACGCCGCCACGGGCAAATCCGAGCGTGCGGCCAGCTGCGTGTGCCGAGTCGTCCGTT